TGCGTGCGGCCCGGGTTCAATCCTCAGCACCACATACAAACAATGATGTTGTGTCCGCTGAAAACTAAAAAATAAAAATAAATTTAAAAATTCAAAAAAAAAAAAAAAGATGAAATGAACTCATGAAAGAATTAAAGAATGACATGCAGTTGCATAGTAACCACAAAGTTAGCCGGTAGAGTCGATGAACCAGGAGCCAAGAGGGTGGGAATCTTTGGGTTGAGTAACCCAGGAAGGCTTCCTGGAAGAGGAGAACCCTGAGCTGGGCCTGAAAGAATCATTACAACGGGGGCTTCTGATAATAGGACACCATCCCTAGAGAAACAGTGCTGCCTTGCCCAGAAACCCTCAGTGGCTCCCCGGGCCTTCCACCTACATCCACACAAGGCATTCCAGGCCCTCACCTGGTCACCTTGAGGAAGACCCCTACCCCCCACATCCTGAGCAGCCCCCCATCTGTTTGCTCTCTGAACTTGCCATGCAGACCCAGACTGGTGCGCGAACCCCCCACGTCTACTCCTTCACCTTTACCTTTAGTGCTCTTCTCCCCGGTCTTCGTCGCCCTTCAGAATTAAGCATTCTTCTTCCTCTCTCCTTCTGAGCTCTGCTCCATTTGCTTCCTTCTGCCTTTTTTAGGATCACACATGGACAGGTCCTGACTCACTAAGTGATAGACGCCAACCGCCGCTTACTCATCCCTGTGGGACACGTGCCACGCCCATGACTGGTGTTTGGCAAATGCCAAATGAATGGATGAATGAATAAATGAATGATGGGGTATAAATGTGGTTATATAGGCAAAGGGGGCTGTGGTGCAAGGGACACGAACTCTCGGCAAGAGGCACTAGGCATAACTCACCTGTGAGTGGGGTCCACATGGTCTTGGTCAAGACTCTCAGGGCTGGAGGAGCTCAGGAGTCACCTCGCCCAGCCTGTGTCATCCCACCCTCCATAGCAATGTGGACAGCAGGCTAGGCACTGAACAAGCACCTTTGCTGCAGACAGGTGAGCACGGTTGTTCTAGCATACTCCCAACATGCAATGGGAGCGTGTGGGCTGTAGAGTTGACCAACCTGCCTTCACATCCAGCTCTGCTATTTACCAGCTGTGTGGCCTTAGGCAAGCAACTTAACCTCTCTGAGACTTGTTTTATCTCTTTTATTAAGGGGTTTAAGACTAGTTCCTCTTCAAAATTGTAAGAATTACAGAGAATATCAAAACCAAAACCCTTCCGTTTATAAAAGATAATAAGAAATAGTAACTTTATTTAATTGTTTACTTTAGGTACCAGGGATTGAATTCTACCATTGAGCCACATCCCCAGCCCTATTTTGTATTTTATTTAGAGATAAGGTCTCACTGAGTTGCTTAGTGCCTCACTTTTGCTGATACTGGCTTTGAACTTGCCATCCTCCTGCCCCAGCCTCCTGAGTTCTGGGATTACAGGTGTGCGCCACTGCACCCAGCCTAATTTTATTTTTTTTAATTTATTTTTTAGTCGTATATGGACACAATGCCTTTATTTATTTTTATGTGGTGCTGAGGATCGAACTCACACATGCTAGGCAAGTGCTTTACACTGAGCTACAGCCCCAGCCCCCTAACTTTATTTTTATGACATATGATTAGTTGTTGCATGTGGCTGGAGGAGGTTTTAAGGAGAATTTGAAGAAAGTTCTAAGAAATGGAGTTTGGGCTTAAACCTAACAGTCTGTCATAACTACAGTGGACCTATCATGGGATGCATTAACAAGGTCTCATCTGATGTACCAAATTTGTTCAAGATCAGGGTCACTACTCCCCTCCCCCACCCCCTCCATGGGTGGGGTCCACGTCCCATGGATGATGTTCACAAGTGAGACACTTGCCAGCTCACCCACTGCAGAGATGCATGGAGCGGCAGAGGTCGGCCAGTGGGAGATGACCCAGAAATGTGCTGAGGGACAGTGCATACCTATCTCAGTCCTAGTTCTGGAAGCAGGTAGGGGTAGAAGCATAGAATCTGGGTTTCTGCCATCATCTACTGAGAATAGGTTGGGACTGGTTTGGCACAGGCAGTGCCAACTCTTAGGGGCTTATCTAATGGAAAGGGCTTCAGCTCTAAAGGGTGGGAAGACCTGAGCTTTGGTAGGTAACTATGGCTGGTGCTCGGCATTCCTGGGGGCCAGCCCCAGGCCTGTGTGTAGAGCCACCGGGTTCCTAAGTCTAATCATGACAGCCAACTGAACCTGAAGAAGGTGGAGAGAGAGGAGGAGAGGTGAGGAAAGGACCAAAAGAAGCCCTGATGCCTGAGTAGGTGGGTGCTGTTGACAGAATCAGGAGGGTCTCAATTCCCATCCCATGCTCCTCCCAGTTGCCCATCTCGGTGAGTGGCATACCCCCAAGCCAAAGTTCTTGCACCTCCCCAGATTCATCCAGGCCCCGCACTTCCCACGGTTCATGCCCAGTTGCCATCTCAACTCAGTGTCCTTCTTCGGTCCCCTCTGCCACTTCCTGGTTCAGGCCCACACATCCCTCCTGACTTCCACACGGCCCCCAGCTGGGTCCCACTTCTACTCTCTCCCACAGTCCACCACGCACACCACTGCCAAAGTGCTCTTCCAAAATTGGATCTGGCCATACTCACCCTTGGCTGGGACTCATTGGCAACTTCATGTTACAAGGCAGACCCTCCCCTTAGCATGGCCAGCGGGACCTCCATGCTGACTAGGCTCCTTGCTCTTCCACGCCAAATGGGAACCCAGCCACCCACACTGCCCACAGGCTCCCGTGCTACTCAGGAGCCTCTGGAAATGCTGCTCGATCTGTCTGGAACCCACCTTTTGGCCAACCCCCTGCCAGCCACTCTAACTCTGCTCCAGAAAGCTCCCCCTGACTCCCAGGCTGGGGTGGGAGCTCCATGCTCCTCACTCCCTCCTCCTTCATTGCTTTCAGGGTCTTTCCCTGGAGCAACCTCAAGTCCCTCTGCCTCCCACACCTGATGCCCAGGGACTGTTCTGGCCTGTTTAGGCTCCACAGCTCTCAACCTCCTGAAAGGGAGAGCGCAAGCACTCTGGAAATATTTTGTGAATGAGTGGGCGAAGATGAGCAGCGAGGGAACCCTGAAGAAGACAAGTCAGCGAGGAAGACCAGACGGTTGGGATTTAGGGACACTGAGTCGGAGGTGTTGGTTGGGCATCTAGGTGGTGGCCCAGGCTGCACTGGAAACTTAGAGGTAGCGGCCCCTCTCTTCACATAGGAGCCAGTCCTAGAGATATCCAGAGAGCAGGAGGTCAAACCACCAGCTAGAGGCTTAGTGTTGCCAAACTGGTTTTAATAGCTGAGAGCATTAGAGTTAGAAGGACATTCTGGGACGTGGCTAGCCTAATTCTTTTATTTTACAAATGAGAAAACAATGTTCAGTGTGGGAGAGGCCTGGGAGAGGCTTTTCTCTCCTGCAGACCAAAGTCTTTCTGTGGCCCCCTTTCTCTGCACCCTCGAGAAGGAAGTCAGTGAGGGTAAAGGGGCCCTTGGAAGAACCCAACTCTGCAGAGTCTTGCACTAGCTACTCCTTATTCATGGCCCCCAAAGGAAGCAGACCCCATCAAGGCCTCAGGGCCCAGAGCTTTGCAGTAAATGGCATACACTTACAGGAGGACCTCGTCCACCTTCAGAGGCAGCTCTGTTTTCAACACTGTTGGCCATCTCTTCTCCAGCCCTAGGAGAGATCAGAAAGGCAGAGAGGGATTGCTGTAAACAGGAAAGCTGACAGGCCGACAGACCAACCAGCAGCGGTTCACACCAGAGCACACGGAGTCTCTCCTAGATTCACACCCAGACACAAGTCTTAGCTGTGATACCCCATGACGTTCACTGCATGCGGCTTCTTTAAGACTTATAAACACTGAGCCGTTTCACAAAATTTTCATCTAAGTTGATTCGGTTGTTTCGGTTCTGGCACTGCTGTTTAAAGGGAGGACCCTTAAGATTCTACAGAACAGCTAGGCACAGTGGTGCACATGGGAGGAGCATGGGATGGGAATTCAAACCCTCCTGATTCTGTCAACAGCACCCACCTCGTCAGGCATCAGGGCTTCTTTTGGTCCTTCCCTCATCTCTCCTTCTCTCTCTCCACCTTCTTCAGGTTCAGTTGGCTGACATGATTAGACTTAGGAACCCGGTGGCTCTACACACAGGCCTGGGGCTGGCCCCCAGGAATGTCGAGCGCCAACCATAGTTACCTACCAAAGCTCAGGTCTCCCAGTGGCTTGGGAGGCTGAGGCAGGAGGACTGCAAATTCAAAGTCAGCTTCAGCAACTTAACGAGGCCTTCAGCAACTGAGTGAGACACTGTCTCAAAATAAAAAATAAATAGGGCTGGGGGTGTGGTTCAGTTGGTTAAATGACCCTGGGTTCAATCCTTTGTTAAAAAAAAATTAAAAAGGGGGACTAGGAATGTAGCTCAGTTGGTAAAATGCTTGTCTTGCATGCACAAGGGCCTGGGTTCGATCCCTAGCACCAAAAAACCACCCAAAACGAAAAAATTTAAAAAGGAATCTATAGAACAAAAGTTCTTCATTGTGAGAAAGGGGGAAGGAATTTGGCATTCATTGGTAGGCTACATTAGTGCTGGTAGTAAGCCTAATACATTGTCTCATTTCACAACTCTAGATTTGCACATAGCAGCATCCAATATCTGTTGAACTGAATGACTGCCTGGGCTGGGTGTTTTCAGCCTCATTTCAGAGACTGGGAAATGAGGTCTGAAGACTTGAATTGCCTGTCTGCAGTATGGAACTAGGAGGGAGCTCAAGCACTTTCCCTAAAGCACTACTGCTATTGCTACAACCTGGGTCCACTTGGCAAGAAAGACAACTGTCACTTGCCATGATCAAAGAATAGCATTAACTCTCCAGCCACGCTCAGTGCCACAAGCAATAATTGAGAGCTTGCTATGTGCAGCCCGAGTCAGGAGCCCTGCTTCCAATGTTTTTTATCACTTATGTTTTCTTTGACCAACAGGAATGAATTCAGAGCATGGACAGACATCAAGCCTGTGAAACCAATAAAAGCCAAGCCTCAGTACAAGCCCCCAGATGACAAGATGGCTCATGAGACCAGCTACAGCGCCCAGTTCAAGGGGGAGGCCAATAAGCCAACAGCAGCTGACAATAAGGTCATGGATCGCAGAAGAATACGCAGCCTCTATAGCGAACCTTTCAAGGAACCCCCAAAGGTGAGACAGATCTTGTGGGGAACCCTTCAGCACAGCCTGGACTGGAAAGGTGAACTGAGCAGAGCTTGGGAGTGGGCACCGCAGACACTGGCCGGCCCCAAGGGCTCCTTTCCTTTTTAGCACACTGAGACCCACAGGCATCTTCAACAGGAACCTTTGTTAAATTCAAAGGAAATGTTAGCTGTGGGGCCTGTGATCCCAGCTATTATTGAGAGGCTGAGGTTGGGAGGGTCATAAGTTCAAGGTTGATTGGACAACTTAGTGAGATCCTGTCTCAAAATCTTAGGAATAAATGAAAAGGGCTGGGGATGTAGCTCAGTGATAGAGCTCTTGCCTAGCAAGTATGAGGCCTTGGATTGCATTCCCAGCACTGCAAAAAATAAAATAAAATAAGGAGATGTTAGAAAGAACCATTACCTGAGATTAAAAACAACAACAACAACAACAAAAAAAAAAAACACCTTAAAGGTGGGCAGAATTCCAGAGAACTAGCTTCTGCATTTGAGAGATTCAGAAAAAAAGTAGAGGAAATCTCACCTGAGCTGTAAATCCCTTCATCTAAAAATAGCTGTGCTTCTGCCCCCGCAGGGCCCTTCCCCCCACCCCATTCCATTCCAGCCCCTTCTTTTCCTCCCAGGTGTGCACACAGCCACCCTCTCATTCTTCCCTTGATAACATGCCATCCACCAGCAGGGTTCACTGTCGCAGCACACCTGTCACATCAGCTGCAAGATACACTCTCAGTCATTAGTTCCTAAACAGTTTGTGAAAGTGTATTCGGGAGTTTTCTTACAACACTACCCTACCTGATTTGTATCTCAATGTGAATTCATACTCGGGGGAAGGAGGTTGGAGATGGAGCTTGCAAGTGGGAATCGCACATGCCAAGCAGCCTTATTCTGTGATGTCAGACCATATGGAATTGGGTACACATCATCTCTCCTGCATACGACAGCAGAAAACATCTGACAACCTAAATACCTTTAGAACCCAAACCGTCTTTTCTCTGCTTTTGTCCTAAAGTCTAGTACTCATGTGGAGTTTCCTAAGTGGCCAGGACCATTTTATAAGTAAAGGAATTACCCAACTCAGTTTGCCTGAAACATTTCAGGAAACCTCTCCATTCCAGACAAAACAGGATGACTGCTTACCTTCTTGGCAGATCAAGGGTGACTGAAAATCATAGGAACTCAGCAAGTCGATGTCTCACCCACAGATGCAGTGGGACCCAAGACATGGGGTTGGCATTGAACAAAAGAAGATTCCAGTGGAGGAAGGAGGAAAGATAGGGGAAATTAAATCTAGAAATCAATGGGCCCGAGTAGCATATCGACCCATCATGCTCAGTGGCTCCAGAGTTCTCTGAGAAAGAGGAGGCTGTGTCCTCAGAACAAGGGGGAAGAGTTAGAAGAGGGATCCCAGGGAGAGTGGATTGGGCTTGGAGCAGCTGCTCTGGGAGAAATTGTCGAGGTGGCCCATCAGAGATGTGGCTGGCCGTGCAGCCCCAATGGCCTGGTAAGGCTGGACACATCCCAGCTCAAAGGATCTCAGTAAGAACACTTCTCCATGTGCGTTCCCATCTCAGAAACAGGGGAAGGCCAGCTACTCCCAGCAATAAGCCACTGGGATCCTAGCATCTGACATCAGCCAAAGTTCATCTTGCATGAGTAGCTGTCCATCATGGTGGGCTGAAGCTCTGCTCCTCATGCCTCTTCAGCCTAGGCCTGGGGTGATGGAGCACCCCGCTCTGGGCAGAGGCGCAGAGAGCATTGGAAGCACAGGCTGACTCTCAAGTCCTGGCTGGAGGTGACCCACGTCCCTTCTCACATTTCAAGGACTACAGGAAATCATATGCCTGTGCCTGAGTTGAACAAGGTGATGAGGTATAATATTCCCACAGGGAGGGACAGCAGATGCAGCATAACAGTGACCTGCCTGCCATCTGGGGAGGGGGCCACCTAGGGAGGGGATAGTGAGTCCATGTAGCCAGAGAGAGTGCTGCCATAGACTAACCAGGGAGTTCAGACAGAGAAACCAAAAGGCCAGTGTCACTGGAAGTCCTTCCTCCACTGTGCTTCCCGTGTCAGACTTGCTCCCCGTTTTCCTTTGATTAATACTGTAATGTCTTCTTCTCTCTGAATCCTCTCTCCCACTCCCTCCCTTTGTGTTTCTGTATTTGCGGTCCGTCTGTCTCTCCATACAGGTGGAGAAACCTAGTGTTCAGAGTTCCAAACCAAAAAAGACCTCAGCGAGCCATAAGCCCCCGAGGAAGGCCAAAGACAAGCAGGTGGCGTCGGGCCAGGCTGCCAAGAAAAAGAGCACGGAGAGTCCCAGTGCCACCAAGCCCAACGACAAGGAACAAAGCAAAGAGATGAACAATAAACTGGCTGAGGCTAAAGAGTAAATGTCACTGCACTTTCCTTTTATTCTTCTCTCTCTCTCTCTCTTTTTTTTTTTTTAACCAACAAACAAAAAGGCCACAAAATTAATTAGAGACTTCCCCTCTGCCTTGGTCCTGAGTGTTCCAGGAACTCTTTGGTTTTGTTCTTTTAGTGGAGGAGCCCTGGTTCACACACAGGGCCACGCCTCCTCCTGAGGGTGGCCTGCGTCACCCTCGGGACCCTGGGACACCAGGAAGCCTTGTGCACTGGCCGTGCCTCCCCCTGGGGACCATACTCAGCCAGCTCCAAGCCCACCTCCTGGTGGGGCTTGGAAATGTCTGCTGTAGGGTCTCTTCCTCCTGCTCCTCCCAAGCTCTGCGTCAACTGGTTGATTTTGAACTTTAGATGAAGTTTCTTTTCCAAAGTTTAGAGGGTGATCATGTGCTATAGAAGCTCAGCTTATGCTTCATGATTGACAACATTTGTGGAAATGTTAGAAACAAAACGAAGGAAAAAACAACCTTGGCCTTAATGTCAATGGAATGGAGTTGTCTGTTAACTTTAATCTTCTAGAATCTTCTGTTAGAAGTGTGTGCCTGTGTTTTGTTTCCTACTGGTGGGCTTTAAATTGTACACCAAGTGATAGATAGGCTCCTGGTGATGGAGACCAGGCCAGCGGTGGTAAAGGGTGGGTGTTGTAGGTGTTGTAGGTGTCATAGGAAGGCCACAGCTGTGGGAGGCTGCCTTCCCATTTGTCCTCGGCAGGCTGCCAGCGTTGCAGAGTGACAGGTCGAGGGCGACTAACGATGAAGGGTTGAGGTGGAGGGAGAGAGGACTTAGTGCGTGCTTTCAGTTCCTGAGATGCCGCAGCGGCAGGCGTGGCGGTGCTGACCCTTCCTCACTGAAGGGTCTCGCTCTGCTCCACAGAGGCCAGCGGTGCCAGTGCCGAACTTCAGGTCGGGTGTTTCTGTGACACAGCTGCAGGCTAGGAGAGGACCCTGTGAAATATCTGGCAGGTCTTTTTGACCTCATTGATGGAAATTTTAAAAAGCAGCTCTCGATGTATTCTGTGATGCGTGTCTATGTGGCCAAAGCCCCGGGGGAGGTGAGTGCCACCATAGCTGTGCTAGAGTTGTGTTGTAGGAATTAGGGAGTCATTGTGAAAGATCCCCAGTGCTTATGAGGGAACCCCAAGTGTCTACCAGAAAGAATATATTTGCAAATGTGAGGTGTGGATTGCTCCTGTCCTAGAAGGCCATCTTCCCCAGCATTCTGAATGGCTGGGCTGTGGCCAACAGGCAGCCTCTGCCCGGGTGCCTTCTTTTTGTCTTGGAGGAGAAGAGTGGAGGTCTCCCAGCTCCATACCTCAGAAGCCCCTCCGGGTCCTCCCAGGTTAGAAGCAGCAGAGCTCCTGGGCTCTCTTATTCTCACTGCCCAGGCAGCAAAGTGTCTGTGTTCTATTTTGTTTGTTGCGGGGCTGGTTGAGAAGGTCTTTGCAAACTAATACAGCATGTGCTACGCAGGCCTGGTTTTAATAAAACAGGAAAACCAGAAAGAAGAGTCTGTTCAGGCCACTGCCACCTTCCTTTCCCTCAGGGCGTGGCCTGTGAAGGAGAAGTGCCGAAGGCAGGAAACGCTGGTGAGTCCCAGCGCTTATGAATCACAAATTTTAAATGCCTATCCGGAAGTGACTGGCATAGATCTCAGTACTGTTTCCGGCAACTTGTTAGCTAATCATAAAACTTACCAGGGAACTCTAACAACTTGATCTAACTGTATCCAGAGAATTTGCAGATTGGTCATTCTCTTAAGATCTCAGCATTAGCCAGACACGTGGATGCTAGCTACAGCTTGGATTTCTCCACGGAGCATTTTGCAGATCCAGTGAACCAGAGTCTACGATGCACAGGGGATCATTCAGGGGTCACTCACATATCGAATGCCTTGTGTCAGCACTGTGCTAGACTCGGTAGGCAGTATAAATAAATCTGTCTCCACAGCAGCACAGCCAGAAGAATGCACCTGATGGTCCCCTATGTATAGTGGCTGAGCCAAGTTGGTGTTGCCCAAGTCAGGGTTTGCTTCAAGGGCCTCACAGGCTTTTGCAACCATTTTGCAGCCCCAGGGACTGCAACTCCTACCCTGCCCTGCCCAAGGCTTTAGATGACAGTATAATCTCCTTTTCAACCTGTCAGTGCCCCCTTCTTTGTCACACACCCACCTGAGAAAACTCTGTGGTTCACTTTGACTCTTGAATGTGTCACTTTCCTGGCAAGAAATTTCCTTTGATTTCTACTGTTTACAAATAAAACTCAGCCAGTCTCGTTCTATATCCTGAACATACTGAACGAAACTGATCTTGGTTCCTCAAGCAGTGTTTGGTGTTGCCTTTCTGGAGGTGACTGAGCTTCCAATGCCTGTCCTGCTCATTTGCATACATTTCTCTGTGGTTGCTGCTCCTACCCCCAGCAAGAGGGCTGGGACAGAGACTTGGCCCTTGTCTGCTTGGCCCGCCTGCAGAAATCCCCGCAGAGCTGTGCCCTGGCTTCCCCAGCTCTGTCTTCTCTGCCCAGGATCCCGACCAGCCCATATAGCTGTGCCTCACTGAGGCAGACAGGAAGTGTCTAATTGCGATTTTGTGGCCTGGGTTTTGTTGCATACCACAGATTGTCTATGTAACGTGTAGCGCACACCTCTCTTGGTGCTATTTCATTCCCGCTGTTAGTAAGAGAATGACAAAAATATTCGTGTATAGCCAATTGATTGTGACGTGCTTGTGGTCTGTGCTTGCTCAGAAAACAGACAACCGAACAGTTTTTCCAATTATAAATAAATGCTAAAGACGAACACCACTTTCTTGATCTTATTTCCTTGGTGAGGCCCAGCTGAGTAGGTGAAGGAAGCAACCTTTGGCATTTGAGCCCCTCTCCACGAGCTGTGCCCTGCAGTTGTCCTGGGCGACTCCATAATGCAGCTTGACTCTTTTAGATTGCCTCAGATACTAATTGCAAGCAGTCAGACTAAGTGTTGGGAAAGGCGAAGATGGACCGGGAGACGCACTGGCCTAAAAGGTAGCGTAATGTTTTGATCCCCTGTCTCCGGATGAGTGACCCCTGCACCCCGCCCAGCCTTGCTGTGCTGGGAGGCTGGGCTCCGACTGCAGCCCTCCCTGTGAGGAACCAGGAGCAGTGCTGGTTCTGGCCTTTCTCCTTGCAAGGGATGGCAGGCTTGTCTTCACTTGCTCGTTTAATCTATGGTCATTCTAGAGGGTTCACCTCCAGGGGCTGGCTTTCCATTTGGGCACGGGGACTGCAGTCGCGTATGCCTATCGTGGGGGTGCCGAAAAGCCACCAGAGAGGCCCAAAAGAGGTCACGACAGATCAGGTAGTTGGGAGCTCAGATGAAGGACAGCTTTCTTCCTCTGGGGGTTGGGAGTCGTGGAAGGCTTTGTGGCAGAGGGCGCCTCGGAGGGTGGTGGGATATGGGGGTGCAGGGGGTGCAGAGTATGCAGGTGAGCAGGTCTGGGGATAGGAAGGTGGGTGGGGGACCAGGGGAGAAACTCAGTGCTAGGGCCAAGTTTTCTCACTTTGTTATCCTTCTGGTAAAGTGGGAGACAAAAGACTTCATTCTCTTCATTTTCAACATGTATTGATTGGATACCTTGTGTGTGCCAGGCACCGTGCTGGGCACTAGGGAAGCAGGATGACTGAGACTCTGCCTCTGATCACAGTGGGGCATGAAGGAGGAATCCGTTCTAGCTGGTTCTGTGGATCAGGAAGGACTTCAGCGGATGGGTAGGTGTTGACCAGGTGAACAGAGCCGGGGGTGGCCGAGGCATGCCAGGCAGAGGGGTCTCTACGAGCAAAGGTGTGGAGGGGTCACACCCCCCTGGGGGGAGCTCAGGTTCGGTTGGGATGGGAGTAGTTCATTTGGGAGGAAAAGGGCAAAGGCTGGAGAGTGGCAGAGTTCAGTGGCGGAAAGGCCTGGTGCCATGAGACAGTGGCTGCTGACTGGGATCTCCATTTCACCCTCCCAGGTGGTGCCCACACCCCGCATGCTCCACCGCCATGCTTATCCCCCCTCCCCCTGCATTGGCAACTGCCACAGGTCCTCTCCGGCTCTAGGCTAGGAGCCCTAGGGTGGGACTTTTATTCTATTGCTGGCCCTGATTTCTAAGGCTTTTTTTTGGGGGGGCGGGGGTGGAGAGGCAGTGGTAAAAATCAATCAAGGGTAATAATTTTTAAAAACCCATTATATATTTGTTTTCCAGATGATTAGAAAAATTCCATTCACCTGTCCACTTCTGTATGATGCAGAAAACACAAAAACGGTTCAATACATGAAACAAATACATACTAGTCAGATCTCTTTAGATCAGTTAATGGAGAAAGACAAAGTAGGGATTGAGAGAGATGGTAAAGAGACAGGAGAGAAGCAGAGAGGTAGGAAGAGAGGCAGAAAAAAAGACACAGAAACACACACAAATAAGATACCGAGAAGAACCTGAAGAATAAGAGAAGGGAGATACACTCAGAACCCAGGGAGGGCAAGACCTGGGCACCAGGGAAGGCAGGAGGCGGAGGTCTGGCCGGCTTCCCTGGGTTGCCTGGTGAGCAGGGCTCCACCTCACACCTGCAGCGCCCCCCCACTCCCCACCCCACCCCGTGCTCCCGCAGCTGCCCGGAGCTCAACCTGCTGCTCAAGTTGCCTTCCTACAGCAGAAAACAAGCAACTGAAGCCAGCAGTCTTGTTTTTGTTTTTTTATATTTTTAGTTGTAGATGGACACAATACCTATATGTTATTTATTTATTTTTATGTGGTGCTGAGGCTGGAACCCAGCATCTCACATGTGCCAAGCAATCGCTCTACCACTGAGCCACAGCCCCAGCCTCCGTCTAGCTTTTTTTTTTTTTTTTAGATGGACACAACACCTTTATTTTATTTTTATGTGGTGCTGAGAATCAAGCCCTAATATTGATCATTGTTTTTGCTAAATTAGTCATGAGCATATTTCAACT